CTTATGGATCCTCTCCTGGTGGTGATTTTCTAGTGAATTGTTTACAGTGTATGCTCTGGGCCTCAGTTTACGTTTTTGGTTGACCCATGTAACTTATTTGTGACATCAGGCTTAAGACTAGTTGTTGACTAGTTGAGGGCACAGATTTATCTCCTAAAAAACCCTTTTTTTCTTTTTATTTCATTTTTCTTTTTACAAATTCTGGTCACCTCTACCTCTGAATCCCCATGACAATGTTATATACAATCTTTGATTGAACCTGTTCAGAGATACTAATTTTGGATGCGGCACCTGGGAAATAGATATAGCTTGTTCTCGAATGGATTTTGCTTATGGTCTGCTTTGAAAGCTGGGATATCAGAGTCCTTTTTCCAGGAAGTTTTCTTACATAATCTGTATGAGTGGGAAAACCTCCATCCACCTTCTCATGTTTGTTGTGATTCTGCCTAGGAAACTCCTGTGTTTGTAAAAGGCATTTTGGAAGGGGTTTCCCCTTTTCCTCTGAAAGTTTTATTTATGTCTTCTTGAACCGTACTTGAGTGACTGTCTTGCTGAATGGCTTGTGTTTTCACCTGCTCAAACTGCCATGTAGATTGCACCACCTGTTCCAGTTTGCTGAAACATTTGCTCTAAGTTCTCTGAAATTTCTTATTTACAGTCTCTGCTATTAGATGATTCCTTTTATGTGCTTTTCCTTATCAATACTGAAGACCTAATGCTACTTTTCCCTGGAAAAGAGACCTCCTCCTAACGGCATTAGGCTTTCAATGGGCTGCTGCAGCCTTTGTTAAAAGAATGCCCAGTTGCTTATCGCCTCCCTTTAGGAAGGAAATGCTGATCACACTTTTAAAGAACAAAGGCAGGATTATTCCTCAGTCCTTCCTCATAAAGCAAACAATTTATAAATATTTAAATATATAAAGCAAATGTGCCCCCCCCCTTTTTTAAATTTGTGTAAATTAGTGTAGAACCATTTATATTTTACTACTTTCCTGAAAACAACAACAAACCCCCCTCCCACTCTCCCACTCAGGCTTTTCCTTGGGTTCATCAAACCTGTGAAGTTTGGCATTTCTTCTCTCTTGCTTATGTCTATCTGAAATAGAGCTTCTGAAAGTTCATCATTTCACAAAGGTGGAAATCACAGGGAAAGGTAATGTTGCCTGGCCAAGGAACTTGGCTCTCATTTCCTCTCATCCCGCTTTCTGAGGTTTGGGAAGTCTGTAGCTAATAGCCTCCGCTCCTTGAGAAGGTGCCCACTGTGCGCTAAGACAGTACAAGAACTTTGCAGAGTAAGGCAAGCAACAGACATTTCTTGTGTTCTTTCCCTCACTTCCCTGTAGGGTTTTTGTCTAGTTTTAAAGCAGCAGTGTCCTCCTGTCTACTCATAGAGGAGGGATACTGAGGGGATAAAAGCAACCAAAGAAACTGGAGCAGTAGTTGGGGACAGTTGAGAGGGCACGGGCTTTGAAAAGAACTTTCTTTGGATACGAAAGGAGGAGAGAGGAACAGCACAGACAAGATGGGGAGGAGTAGGAAGGAATGCTGAAGAACACTGGTGGTATTTGGGAGTATTACAAACTCTGGGTAAAGATGGAGCAGTCGGCCTGAGCTCCTGTCTCAGATCTGAATCCTAGCCATCCAGTATGCATTCAGGAACAGCTTAAGACGGTCATGGAGCCAGTAAAATCTTTGGAGCTTCTGCCTTTAGGATGTCCTCAGCTCGTAGAGCTGCATTATCTCTTCAAGTTCCACTTGGGGAAAGTTTGGCCATCCCAGCCCAGATGTCTCTGAGGCCTGGGGGGAAAAGAAGTCTGACCAGCCATATTAATGGTGTCCTCACCATTGCTTGCCCATAGTGGTTTGCTCTTCCGTTTTTTGAGAAGTCTTTGTTGATGTTTTCATCCTCTAGAGCTGAGCTGGGTGATCACCTGCTGACTAGGGAGAGGAGGGGGGGAAAAAAAAAAAAAAAAAGGCTGGACATTCAGCAGTGCTGGACCAGAGTATAGTGAGGGCTGGAACTTATTCTCAGACTTTTGCTTCCTGGGAGATGGTTCTTATTCTCTGTCCACTTGCAGACTTCTGGAGAGAAATTTCTGTTCCCTCCAAAACAGAAAGGGGTGGAGAAATACTTTAATTACTGCAAGGATCAGAGTCAAAGCACTCATGCTCACTCTTCTTTTTCACCCTGTTTGCAGTAATTAGATGAGCATCCTTCCCTTATGCTAGAGGAACAGGGAATCCTAGTGAGATGTCTGAAGTTCCTCTGTTGTCCGTTGCTGTTTCACCTATCTCTAGCCAATATTCTTATCTTTGTCTGTGGAAAAAGAACCATGGGGTTTTCCTGAGCCCTCATTCTTCTGTAACTCCTTGTGTGGTGCTCTCAAATCTCCTGCCTGTCGGAGATTTCAGGTGTCAGATTGATTTGGCCCCTGCCTCTGAAATGCTATTGCCTCTTATATAGTCTGCATCATGAAGTTCTAGGTCATGGAAAGCGTAAGGTGAAATCTGATATTAAAAAAAAGGTATGGCTCATTTTTTTATGAGACTGCTAATAATGTTCAGCCTTGACAGGGTTAAAAGGCAACATCCATTTCCCCATTATCTTGTTTAAAAAGTGCCTTTTTTAAAGTCCATATGGCGACTTCCTTTCGACCTGCTTTCCCATCCTCGTCTCTTTGTCAGGGCTGTCACTTATAAAGAATCACTTGACTTACAATAACAAGTTCAAAAGAAGACAGAATATAATCAGTTGATCCACGAAGAATTGAAATAAAGAACACCCCCACTGCTCCAGTTATCATTCCCATAGAGATAGTGATATTATTGATGTGATTGCTATGCTAATTTCTATAGAAAAAAACTTGTATTTTGGAATTTGTTCAAAGAGAATTTCAGACACATCAAATTGGAAAATGCAGAGTGAATTCCTAAACTTTTTAGTATAGGCATGGGAATCTTTCTTTCTTTCCTTTTCTTTCTTTCTTTCTTTCTTTCTTTTTTCCATTCATTGAATAGCTCTGAACAACTATTTATAAACTTCACTTAAAAATCAATTGGAAAAATCTAGCTAATTTTTCAGTAGTTATAGAAGTTAATTTACTGCAGTTCCAGAAAAAAGTCCTACGGTACTTATAGGGTTATTAATACCATTCCCAAAACCTGCAGAAGTGGGATTGGACCACAGAATCCAGAAATAGAGGCTAGGGATTATAAAAGATGGGTACATTTAAGTCCACTGTTTAGTAAGAGCTAATTAATCTATACCCCTTCCTCTGCAATTCCATAGTCTCTTTGGGAATTGCCACAAACATAAACTTTTTTTTTTTCCCTTGGACTCCTATTTTAACTAGAAGGTTTCAGCTTGTGATGTTATGCTTTTTATGTAGTAAACTGATTTAAAATGTATGCCAGTCATCTTCAGGGAACTCATTTCAGTCAAGATGAAACTAGTCTTACCTGAATCAATGTTTTAAGTGTCCCTGTGGCTCGGCATTTTGAATAATCAATCTGTCTCCATCGCTTCTTAATCATGCGCATCACAGTCTTTTTTATTTGTCAACCCTTTCGGATCCTGGCTTTTTGTTATTAACATGCCCCTAATGTCACATGCAAGCCTTTTCTTTAAAACAAGCTGCTCATTGGTGTATTTTGATACTTTTTATTATTACTAAATCTTTTTTCCCATAATTACACCACAATCATTATATAATCCCATAACAAAGAGTCTATTGAGGCACCATGCTTTTGTCAACTATGGGACACAGAATCCATAATTGCATTATGTTGTCCCCCCCCCCCCCCCCCCCCTGCTTTGTAGAAACACAACCTATTTCACCAGTCACATTTGCACCTTGTTTGCTTGGTTATATATTATTTACTAAATCGTTGCCCTGCGGATAAACCTTGTAAAGTTGCTTTAAAAAAGTTATTTGTTTGATAATTAAGTCCTGAAAACCCATCGTTTAATGATTATTCCGAACCCATAAGGCAGAGAACCTCCATGACGTTTTTCTCTAAGTTTAATTACCGTATGCTAATTTCCTTGCCTACTACGTGATTAATTAAAATCATATTTTCATAATCATTTGGCACTAGTATTGTTTTAGAATTATCATGATCCCCTAAATAGTGTATGTAAATAAAGTCGGCTCTAATGGAAAGAATCAAAATGCAACGCTGAGGACCTTTATGTGTTTGTATGCATGCGATTGGCAACATAACTGGCTTATTTACATTAAATACGCCACAAGGTTACAGTGCAGATCAACGTCACTTTATCGCTGATTACTTCTCTTAAACGCCGGAGCGGTGACTGATGCTCCGGTCCCCCTGTCCACCCAGGTTTACCCGGGAGTTTTTTTTTAGGAGAAGCAGACTTTGCATAGTTTAAGGAGCAGGTAAGCAGGGCGCTTTGTGGCGCCTGGCGGCGCCCCCGGGGGCTCGGCGGGGTGCGCGGGGCGCGGGCAGGG